CATACTACTTACACATTCAAAATTGCAAGCTGCAAAATGTCGTGCTGTGGATGTAGCTCAACCAAAAGGACTGCGTTATTTTTACTGGGAAGTAGATATAGATTCCCCGCCCCGTACAAACAAAACGAACCTTTGGGCTGAGACCCGCTATGAACCGTTCCAGCCCCAAAGCAAACTTTTTTCAGAAATGAACAAGCATCTGCAAATGTGAAGACTTGACATCATCCTGCAATTGTATGAACAGGTTTTGAACCTTCCTTTTTTTTTTTTAAAGGCTTAGAAACACCTTTTGTTGTCTCAGGCTCTTCCTTCTGTGACGGAAAAGCCAAACAGGTTGATCAAGACCGACTTCGCCCTCAGTCCACCCAGCTGCACTGTATTGCTGGATGCAAAATAAGAGACCTGAAGGCACGAGCCATGACGTCACCTATCACCTCCGCGCATGCGCACAACTGAAGTCCTTGGCACGCGCACAACGTCCCTTCCCTTCGCTGGTCTCTCTTCCTCCTCCTGATTGGTCCGTTCATCGCCTCGTCTTCCCTAAATGCTGATTGGTTAAATTCTTCCAGCACGCCGCTTTTTTTTTTTTCTTTCTTTGGCGGCCCACGATTGGACGGCTTTTCCGATAGTCCCCCGTTCTGTTTAGTCAGTGCTGCAGTCAAGTCCCTCCCCCCATGCTCTGATTGGTCAGCAGCATACACCCGTCCCCGCCCATCTCCCTCTCAGCAGTGAGGGTAGCGAATGTGTCCGTGGTCCGTACCCGTCAGCCCGCGGCGGAGCGGTTCCTCCCCGCCATGGAGCTGTCGTACCAGACCCTGAAAGCCGCCTACCAGGTCAAGGAGGCGGTGAGTGCGCGCGCGGGGGGGAGGAGCTAACTGTGCTTCCCCGTTACCATGGAGACAGGCGGGCTACTGGTGTGCGCATGCGCAGGGGTGGCGGCTGCAGTGAGCGGAGCTGCTCCCCTTTCCCCGGTTCTCTTCAGGGGGCGCTGCTGGCTGCGCTCTGCCGCCCCCTGCTGGCCCAGCCCGGCAGTGCAGCAGCAAGACCCCCCTCACCCCCCCCTAGTGTGTGGCTGGCAGGAGGGGGCTCTGCTGGCACAGGGTGCCAGAGGTCTGTGGCCATTGCTCTTCTTGGACCCACTACACAGCTGGGATGGAGACCAACAAGCCTTCCATGGCCAGGCATGCTGCTTCAGTTCACGGGGAAGCTCATGCAGCTCAATCCCAGCCAGGGCCCTGCTGCACATTCAGAGTCAAGCTGGGTAGAAACTAGCCCTGGAGTTGTTACACACATTTTCAAGCCCTAACTTTGTAGCTGGTTGGATCTTTATAGCCGGAAAGTCATTTTTATGGGGTGATAACCTATAGGTACCTTGCAGGGGTGGCTGATCTAAACTTACTGTGCGATGTCACACAATAAATGCACACAATAACTGCGTGAATCGCGCAATCCATTTAGACCAGCCACATACGTAAAGTATCCCACAATAATTAACAAATAATAATTAACAAAGTAATAATCACACAGTTAACTGGTTAAATTACTTTGCACTTGTGGCTGGTCTACATTCATTGTGCGATTTGCCAGTTAATTGTGCAGTATATGTAACGTGTAGCAGGGGCCTAAGAAATCCTTGCCTCTAGCATAATTCCTGGACCATCGTGGCTGCCTCAGTCTAACGCATTGGAATCTAAAACATGCAGTTTTTGGATTATAAACGTCATTGCTAAACAACAAGAAAGATTTCTACACCTCAGGGCCGACACGTAGTGGGTGCACATGGGTGCACATGCACCCCCTGAGTGTGGCAGTGCACCCCTGCAAAAAGGCAGAGGACACTCACCACCTCCCGCTGATGACAGTGCCCGCGGTGTCTCTGGGAGCTTCCCGCTCACCGCCACCGGGCTTCTGCCACTGCACTCGTGCTGCTGCCAGCGCAGCCACGCACCCACGAGCTGCTGGGGGCACATCTCCCTGCCTGCCATCTGACACCATCAGGGAAGAAATCTTGCATGATCTAACCAACAAAGAGCAAGCTCACAAAGAGACTCTCATGGGCCCAGAGGGACAGCTTTCCAGCTTCTGCTTACTTTATGCAAAAATGAAGTTTATTTCCTACATGTGGGGACTTTTTTACCATCTTGAAGTTTCCCTGAGCCTGATGAAGGGTGCATGAGCCCAAAAGCTTTTCAGAAAAATATATTTTTTTGCAATTTCTCAGTTGGTCTAATAAAAGGTATCATTTTGGAACCAAGAGTTCTAGATTTTTGCATTTCTTTCAGTCTAACACCGGCAGACAAGGTTCCTTGGGTAAATCTGATGGCTTTTATTAGACCAACTCAAATATTTGGTCCAGTTCAAATACTGAGTTGGTCTAAAATAAAAGCTATCAGATTTGCCCAAAAAGCCTTGTCTGCCTGTGTCAGACCAACGCGGCTACAACCTACACCTCAGTCTAACACAGTGGTTCTCAACCTCTTTAGACTTAAGGCAGACAAGGTTATTTGGGTAAATGTGATATCACTTATTAGACCAACTGAATAGTTGTGGAAAAAAATTCTTCGCATGCTTTTGGGCACAGACACCCTTGTTCGGCCATAGGGAGAGTCTGCTGGTCTTTTTCTTCTTTCTGTCGTGTCCTGATAGAAGCTTCAGCCAGTATGCAAAATGCAGGTCTGTAAAAATACAAATGCATGGCAGGGAAGGTCAGAGGGGCTAGAAGTTAATCAGTGTGAGACAGGTGTGTTAGACCTGAGGCACCCCACAGAGAATGCCAGCTTTTAGCTTTGGTAGTGTAAGAGTGATGTTGTAACCATGTTGGTCCAGAAATTATGCAAGAGGCAAGGATTTCTTAGAGTGATTCTCTTTTATTGGACCGACTGTGTCATTGAGATAAAGGTAGATAAGCTTTTGAATGTAAGATATTCTACTTCAGGTGAGACCTTTTATTGGACCAACTATTCCTCAAGTGAGACCTTACATGCCTTACATTCGAAAGCTTGTTTATCTTTATTCCAATAACATAGTTAGTCCAATAAAAGAGATAAACCTAAGAAATCCTAGCAGCTGTTATTTTTCTGAGGGCAAAAAAAGGAGTGAAAACTAATTGGTTTTTCTGTTGAAAGAACTCAGGAAGACCACACCTGTCATCTTCTATTTGAAATTTCTGGGTTTGTCTTAAGAAAACCTAACAGTGCTAACATTGTGGGGCACCCCATGGCACCCTGGAAAGGATCTCGAGGTGCTCCAGAGAACTGTGTCACACTGATTGAGAACCACTGCTCCAACACTACCATAAGCTAGAAAAGTTAGCATTTTCAGTGCTAAAATCTCACATCCTCCCTGGATGTAAGATGTGCTGTTGTGCAGAACAAAATCTGGAATTCATCCGAACAGAGAGAGAAAATGCAAGTGGGGGTTGATAGTATAGTTTAGCAGCTAGGGCATGTGCCCGGGATGGGCAAAGCCCTGGGTTCTTGTCCCTACTTCCAAGACTGTTTCTGGTTTATAGTCTATAGCTGTTGAATAAAATAGAGAGTTGTGGGAGTAGAACCCAGAAGCCGCTACTCCCTGCTTTTAGACTAGACCACTGAGCCCATTCTAGAAGTGAAATGAGCCCTGCTGAGTTGTTTGAAAGGGGATCCACAAGAGCCACTCCCGCGTAGTGATCCCTGGTAACATCTCTCATGGCCAAGAGCTCCTGAACCAACAAAAATGCCAAAGCGCACAAAGATAAAGATGCAGACACCATTTTTGTCATATGAAAGAAGTTGTTTGAAAGAATGGTTGTAGGCACCAATCCCTCAGAAGAGGATTCTGGGATCTGCATCCCACATGGATGGAGGTGCCTGTGCTCTGGAGAGGAGCACCATTTTAGACAACGCCATGGGCTTAGCATTTCCTTTTGGTTAGGTCTAGGGAGCTCCCACCGCCTAGGTGTAGTTCTTTGAGATCACTAATCGGAAGTGCCGCATTTAGAGCCGAGGCTTCTAACCTGAGCTTCCATATTCCATTTTGGTATGATAGGTACCCAAACGTTAAGTGTCACAGCATTTAACTTGTAGGCTGCTTGGTCCACACATCTGTATTTGTTCTAGCCCTTACATTATGACTTGGGAGTTCCTGGCTCTTATTCCTGTGGTCAGGAGTGATTGAAGTTTCCAGTGCAAGGAGTGGTTGCAATTCTTTCCATTATTGTGTTGTGCAGAGTGGATACCTTTTTTGTGGTTTCTTCCATTCCTGGGAACTGTTTAAAAAAATCAATAGTGAATGCTTGTAATTCTATGCAGTAATTGTTATTCTAACTGCCTTGAAATATTGACTACAGCGTGTAAATACGTATTGATTTGAAAGATTCTATTTACTTTTAAAGCCTTGAATAGAGGTGGTCCATCATATTTAATATCTTTCATTATCTGAACCCAGCTGTGCAGTAAGAGTAATTCAGCTGGCTAAATTTCTTAGCTTGTCCTTTTAACTCCACCTGCTGGCTAAAATCAAGCATAGTCTGTATTGACTATTTGCAATCTCTGCTGCAGTGATTCACAGACAGAATACCATGAAATCCTTGCATGAGTGCCACTGAGTGCCATACATACTGTATTTTACAGCACTGTTAGGTTTACAAATATGACTCACAAGATAAACCCCAGAGACTTCAAATAGAAATCCATAGTGGTGGCCTTCGTGAGTTCTTCACAACAAAAAAACTGCTCTTATTTTTTTGTAGGCAAAAAAAGAGTGAAAACTACAAGCTGGCATTTTCCAAGGGAAGCCTCAAGTCTAAAAAGGTTGAGAATCACTGCTGTATAGGGTCAGTTAGAGCAAAGAATAAAAACTTCAGTTGACTTAAGTAAGACGAATATTTCACTGCAGACATTTTGTGATGATGTGCTTGTCTTCATTCGTAGTGCTCAGGCCATTTAATGAAATATGTTTGCGTTGTTTTTACAATTTAAAATTTAACTGGAGCTATGTAAGTATACATTGTGCCTTGGGGATAAAGGTTGTCGCCGTGTTGGTCTAAAAGTACAAGCAGTCAGTGTGCTAGAAGCAATACGTTTTATTAGACCAACTAGACAGTTGCAAAAAAAATTGTCTTTTTTTGCAAGCTTTTGGGCACACTCGCCCTTCCTCGAGCGTAGGAGAATGCAAAGATTGTAAAATTTCTCCCAGGTAGAAACAAAAATTCATATTATACAGGAGAGCAGGAGGGTGGTGTAATTTCTCCTGGTTAGAAAAGTTAATTATATGCAAATTAGGCTCGGATAAAAATTGGAGCATTCTGTTTACCTCAGAGGTGTCTGATGGCAAGCAAGATGTTGAATTATGTTTCTTTCTTGTTATGATGTTTCATATTTCACCAGAGAATTGGTGATGGAAAGGTTCTCCTGGACAAGGAATTTTTGTTGCATTGAGGTTGCTCTACAAGTATGCAAATTTGACTCAAAAGAAAAGGCTGGAGCAAAGGTGTTAGCTTCCAGGTCTCAAGGTGTTGAATTTTGCTTCTTTCTTATAAAATTATTAGAAGTACACTAATACATCGGTCCATATCATATCGGCACCAATAAAAGGAAAATTTATGTTATCAGGAATCAGCTTGTTTTGGCTGATGTGACCGATAACATCTCTGATAAATGCTGCGTGCATGTGCGCAACCTCAGCATGTATACGGCCAGCCCGGCAGTTTGGAGAACAGCATCTAGCTGGTAAGTCTGGGGGGAAGAGGCAGGGAGAGGGAAGGGGTGGAGGGGGCACAGATCAAGGCCCCTTTAGTGAGGGAGAGAGTGGGGTTGGGTCAGGGGCAGGCACTGCACAGGTGGGGCAGGGTGGGATGCAGGATGGA